CTTCCTTCCTTCCTTCCTTCCTTCCTTCCTTCCTTCCTTCCTTCCTTCCTTCCTCTTGCCTGGCAAAGAGTTCTGCTGAACTCAAAAGCTTGCACAGAGTTCTGTGACCTCTGATTTGACACAGTAAATACATTATCCTAATCTGGAAGTTGATTTTTATATGTGGACTCACTAAGAAAGAAGAGGATTTAGGCTGAAACACCATTGCTGTTATCTGAAAGAAGTTTAATGATTAAACCCTTCCCTGGCTTAATCCAGGATGGTGATTAGTGTGAAACCGGGCAGCTTAAAGCTCTCCAGGGACTGACGGAACTAGCCGATTCTCATCAAAAACCCGTGCTTAATGAAGTGAGGTGTTCTGTTTATGAAATCTAAGTGGGAAATGGGTAATTTCCTCTAAGTGCATTAAGACTGCGACTTGGTTAATAATGAAGTATCAAACTTCATGAAGACTCTGGAATGGGAGGCAGTTCCTGAAACAAGCCATATTGTGTCAATACTGCCCGTAACAAAGGAGACCCCTGTTCACCACAGGTCCCATAATTCCCAGCTAGCATGACATTGGAGCAAAGATTGCTGTTCATTTGGTAGATCTATGTTTGAAGCTGATTATCATGAATGCTAATTATTCCATAAATCTGCTTTGAGCAATTCCAGTATTTGAAGGAGTCTTCTGTGCTGCTTCTAGTTACGACAGTTAAATAACTTTTATTCCTAATTGTATTCTTGATATCTCTCTCTTAAGTATTAAAGTGATTAGTTATCACCATATTATTACTGGTAATCAGCAAAGGTGTTTCTTTAATTGTTGATGCAATGAGAGATCTTGTTGCATTGAGGATAACCAAGGCTGTCTAAATGTGACAACTTATCTACATTTGCTTGAGAGGAATCCACAGGTGACTTAATTCTGATTAAATATGCATTGTGAGCAGTCTAAGAAACAAAGTCTGCTGATCTGGGGTTTTTTTATTGGTCTGTTTTATGTGTTCATCAAGATACTTTTCACCCTTTCCCATATATTTATGCTTGTTGAAACATTCATTCTGATTAAGAGTGAATTAATCTTTGCACTAAAGTGTCACGATTTGTTTAGTATTCATGTGTTGCATGAACTCAACCATGGTGTTTTCAGGAGTACAGTATGTTATCAAGTGTGTTATATGAGCACAATCAATCATGGCTGATTCAATGAACCATAGTTAGGGGAACCATGGCTTAGTGCAATATGAACAAGAGTCTGGATGAATTCAAGAGAGTTTGCTCTTTTCTTTAAGAGGTTTTTCATCAGCTTTGATAATAACATAAACACTGTTATTACTGGTGTCTTTGACCCTCCACCAAGAACTGTAGTTCAAAACACAACTGGCTAGAAGTTCTTGAAGCTGGGGGCCCAACCCTGGAGGGCTTCAGCTTCAGGAAGGCTGTATTACAGGCCTGGGAGATTAACAGCCTAAGGGACCACGGAACAAGCTTTTCTTGCCTCTGATGGTTAAGCCTCAGGGCCTCAGCAGAGGCATTGTGAGAGCAGAACTTGGGAGTTGTCTAGCCTCATCCCCTACCAGCAAAATGAGGAAAAGGCCTTGGCAAACGCAACTTCTCTGGCTTCCTATGAAGGATGCAATGATTTTATATTATTGCCTAAAGGAGTCTCCCATCAGTACATTCAGTGACCGCATGGACTTTTTTCTCTCTGTTGGAGATTCCTCTGAACATCGCTGCCCAAAATTGGCAGCCCAGTTTCTCCCTATTTTAAGGCAGGGACTATGTTAAAAATGTTAGTTTAAGTGGACGCCGAGTACATTTACTAAGTACACTACATAGACAAACCTACTTAGTGTAGCTATACCATAGGTAAAAGGCAAAGACAATCCTCTTTGAAAAGACACACAGAGAGGAAAGCAGTCCTGGTTACATGTGTGATGTGACTCTGCCTACTTTTTTTTGGTGCCTTCAAATCAATGTTGACTCCTAGCAACTGCCTTGAACAAGTCCTTGCAAATTTCCTGGCAGATTTTTGGAACTGGTTTGCCATTGCCTCCTTCCTAGGGCTGAGAGAGAGGGACTGGCCCAAGGTCACCCAGCTGGCTTTTGTGCCTAAAGCGGGACTAGAACTCACCATCTCCCAGTTTCTAGCCTGGTGCCTTAACCATTACATCATACTGGTTCTCTCTACCTATTTTGGGACCTCCAATTCCCCCATCCCAACCACTTGCAAAGTGAAATCTTTGACCATCTCTGCAATATGGGGAGTTTGACACTCTACTAAAAAAAATATCCAGTGATCTGCTAGGAAAACCCCACCTGCTTTCTGCTTTCCAATCTCCTGCCTAAAAGTTCAGCCTCCTCGATTGACCTTAACATCCAGAAACATTCTCTGCTCAGAGCATGAATTTCCCTCTGGAGGAATCTATCTAAACCAGTGTTTCTCAACCTCAGCAACTTTAAGATGTGTGGACATCAGCTCATGCATGCTGGTTGGGGAATTCTAGGAGTTGAAGTCCACCCATCTTAAAGATGCTGAGGTTGAGAAACTTGCCCAATTTCCAAGTTGATCTACAATGGAAGTTGGTTGCCCACTGAAAAAGCAGAAGTTATTTTACAACAAAAATCAATCAGATCATTAACCACCTCTTAAATGTCCTGCTCTGTGTGAAGATTCCTTTATGAAAGGCTGCATTGCAATTGTGGTTTCAGAATGTCTTGATTCACTTTTCTATTATTCCCTCCAGCCAAAACACTAACCCTACCTAAACACAGATGACATGGGATTTTTCAGATCAGAACTTTTAGGGTAGACATCCAGAACCTCACTCAGGAAATGAGGGATGGCAGGAACTCCAAACATAGGCTTGTCTCATATAGATCGTGAAGAAATACATATTGCCATCTAAAACAGGGAGAAGCCGTGTTAGATGTTCGAAGTAAGTGAAACAATCCATCTCTAGTTTCAGGGTGATATGTTTCTTCCCCAACTCTTGGGTGCACCTCCAAAATCTTCAAATGGTCACTTTTAATGTGACAGGAGAGAGGAAATTGTTTTTTTTTAATTAATGGAAATAAATGATATGAATTATATTTGATTTGGCTTCAATGTACCTGCAAGCAAAGAGAAATCAAATTAAAGCTTTTGCTGTGGTCACAGCCCAGATGCACAACCCAGGAAAAGTTGCGCAGCCCAATCAAGCAAAGAAGGTCCCTGCACAGCCATAAAGTCCAGACTCAGCACTCTGTGCCTGACCACGCTACTACAGATTATGGCATTAATCTGGAGCTCCCGGCCGAATCTATCCAGCATTATGATTCTCAAGACTGTGTGCAAGTACGCCCTTCTGCCATTCAGAAGGAAAAGCACTATACCAGAGGTGTAACGAATAAACAAAAGTCTGGATCACTGCCTGGTATAATTATACTCACAGGGGTATCTGAAGTAGAATTCATTCTCCACATCAGAGATGTTCCTTTGGTGTTTTTCCTTCTCCCAATCAGCCACGTTAGCCTCAGGGCTGAAGCGTACAAAAATGCCAAAAAGGACAATCATGGCCACCTCCCAGAGGAGGCAAACCAAAGGTAGGCGCCAGTGCATATCAGTATTCTTCGCCATCAAGCTAGGGCGCACCATGAGTTGGATTTCCTTGTTCAATGAAGGGGACAGGAAACTGAAGTTCCAGGAGCTTGGAAGCACCAACTCACAATCCAACCTGTTCATTCATTTTATGTATCTGGGGAGAAGTGGGTGTGGCTGTGTGGCTGCCGGTCATCACAGCCACCCTCAGAGGGCAGCAGCCCCAGGAACAAATGCCATGACTGAGCCAGCTTGCATCTGTCTCTGGACTCTCTCATTCTAGTCAACAGAGAAGAGGCAAAGCACATGTCCCGGCTTTTCTTAAGAATGTATTCTATGAGCTCAACATCATAGATGAATGGATTCTGTGTTCAGCGCCACAAGCCTGCCCTGCCTTGTCACATTCCAAGTGAAGGTGGAGGGAGATAAAACAAGGAAATATCTTAGAAGGACAAAGCAAACCATTGTGCATCTAGGGGGCTGATCTCATATACCTTTGCATAGAAAGGCTGAGATCCTGCTTCTTTGGCCTCACTATTTCCTCCTGAGTTCCTCGTACCTGTATAAGCATGAGCTAAAAAGAGGATGCACTCTATCACTCGCGCTAGGATCTGGAATCCACAGGCTATAGCAATCAGCTTATTTTTAAGGTTTCTAGGTGCGTATGTTTGTGTGTGCATGATTTAGAGAAAGAGAGCATTAAACCTTCCCTTACTAGAACTATCCTATTCACAATGTTCAGTTGCAGTCTTGTGCCTGTTTTTCTAGGGCCAATTCTGATTTAATTTAGTAGGACTTATTTCCAAGTAAATGCACATGTAAATGTTAATCTCTTTCAAGAAAATGACAGCTGACATTTCATCCATTTTGTCCAAGATGTATGTCTTTGTGCGTGCATAAGATAAAGGAAAAGGATGACATCGTCATAGATTTTAATTCAAAAACATATCAAATCCTTACCAATCCTAATTTTAATTCACTTTAAAGAAAAGTTTTTATTTCTCTTACAAGTTATTTGAATTCAAAGCAGTTCCAGAATGACTGCTTCCCCTTTTTGTCTCATCTTTTGGTTTGGGGTACATATGTACTCTCAGCATCTTTAAACTGTCCCCCACCCTGGGAATCCAGCAGTCAGATTCTTCTTCATGATGACCTAGTCATCTTATATGCACATCAGAACAACTTAGCTACTGTTCTTGGGATGTGTTGGGCTATAATTCTCATCATCCCCACCCAGTGGGGGGATACATTAGCTGTGGATGACTCGAGTGAGTGAATGAGTGAGACCACTAGAGCCCCAATGGAATTGCAATTATATGTTCTGTAGAAAGCAGTTGTCTCCAGCCCAACACCTTCCTGTGTCTTGATTTACAGCTCCACTAATTTCCTCCAAACATTGACCAGGGAGCATGAGGTTGTAGTTCTACCAATCTGGAGTGTGCCTGGTTGACTTAAGCTGGTTGAGAGACCCTCAATGATATTAATTCTTAGCATTCCAACTAGTGCCACATTGAACATTTCTCCTGCATTTTTTCTCCCTATTCAGTTGAATGAAAGGGAATTCGCTTTTGAAATTACTGTCACAGTAATTGAGGGGGGGGGGAGAGGTACATTTCACTGGTTTTGTTAGGTGGTAGCCAAAGGGTGTGTATCTGAATGGCCTGCTTTTTTGGAGACAGCTGTTATCTTCAACAATTTGCAGCCTCCCTGGTTTCTTAGGATTCCATTAAATCCCAAGGAATCTATCAGGAGGAAATTCCTCCCAGTGGACAGGGGAGATTCAGGAAGATGGAAAAATATGTTCTATACCACCACCAGTGACAGCAGCCTTCACCACTTCCAAGTTACAATCAAGCTCAAAGACATCTCCAAGAGAAACGAGAAATGAATTCTCAAACATTCTGTGAATAAGGTAGAAAACAGAAACATCTTCCACAGAAGAAGAAAACATTTGAGAAATCACAGTGCAGATTTTGACACAATACAGCTTTCTAGACCTAAACCTGATTTAGAAACAATCCACACAGGAAGTGCTTACCCATATTAAAAGCACGCCCCCCCCCCTTCCCCAAACTTGTACCTATTCCCAGTTCTCTTTCTCCATTATCTCCTTCCAGGTTCACTCCATCCTACCAAAAGAGCCATACAGTAACAAACTGTACTTTATTCTGGATCTTGCCTCAGCTGTGCCTAAGTGACTGGCATGTTGAGTGTTCATTTCAGCACAGAGGTATTACCAATTTGCGAGTGGCTGCTGATCTTGGCATGTTGGAGAGATTTTTTTTAAAAAATTGTTTAGTAATTGGTTTCTCTGGCAAGCAGAGCCATTAATTAATTTGCATGCCAGGGGAGGAAACCTGTAATTCCCCTGGATTACAACTCCCAACACCCCTCACCATTGCCTATGATGGCATAAGCTGCTGGCACTGGAAGTTCAACAACATCTGAAGGCCATAGGTTCTCCATGCTTTTCTCTATTGTTGTGTTGCCCTCACATATAATGCCAGTCAGTCTCGTCCCTCCTTATTCTTAATCTTCAAAGAGCTTCTTCTACTGATCCTGTTACTATATTACTATGGGTTATGAAGTATTCAGATCTGTAGCCCATCCTTTCTCTATGAAACTCAGGGTCATTTATCTGACTTTATCCCTCTAAAAACAAAAACAACAAAAAAATAATAATCCTGTAATGCAGGAGAGAGAGAGTGGTCCAAGGTCATAGCATAAGCTTCGTGACTGAATGAAAAACTGAAACTCTATCTTCCTTGGCCAAAGTCCAACATTCTCATTAGTCATTATCCTATTCTACTTCTGAAATACCTATTTCCTGATTTACAAACACAAACCTTGAAGAATTTGTAGCACTGCCTCAGTGTGCAGGAAGCAGTGATGGGGTGGGGAAGGCAGGGGGGATAGGTGTGGTGGGGCAGCAGGACCTTGAAGAGAAGACTATCCAGCTCCCTGAAGCCCTCAAGCTTGCCAAGGGTGACCCTGTGGCCAGGATGATCCTGGGGTCAAGATTAAGACTTGGAGCGCTGAGAGAAACCAATTTACAAGTCCAGTTCTAATGTGAGTTCCTGGCCCTTTACAACTGTACAGGTCAGCAGTGAAGCATATTCATTTTAGATCACTTTTCCTCCTAGCTTGAAAAAAATCATGACAGTTATGAAACATGGCAATTCTGCATCTACACACACCGAAAGGAAGGAATATGACCTACCGTATTTTTCACCTTTTTAACAACTTTTCTAGTGAGCCTCAGTCCTTCTGCTCAACCTCATGGCATTCTGTTTATTTTCTTGTGTTCCCCAGTTAAAGTACACGTTTGCACACTGAGAATTAGTCAATTTGCTTTCAGATCAGGAAAACATTTATCTCAGGGAGTCCTGTAGAATCCTCCTTCCTCTCCAAGGACATTCAAGCCTTCTTCCTTAAATTTTCAACGTTCATTCTATCTTTTAACTGCATAACTGTATTTTGAAATCCATGCTTATTCCCACTGCTGAATTTGTGATCCAATCAGGGAAAAGATCCTGATCTAGCAAATAATTCCTAGACCTATTTCAAAATATTCTAAAAAGTAATATTTAACATAGTTAAATAACTCATTTGACTACCTGAATCTAATTGCCTGTTATGCGTTGAATGTTCCACCATCTGTTGAGCCCTTAGGCTTTCTCACCACAAAACGTCTGGCTACTATCCAGTTTCAAACATGTTCAAACCCAAATCAACATCTACAACAGAGAGAGATGGAGGTGAAAAGCTCTCTGCTAGACTCAAACTGAGTGAATCACTTTATAAGAAGGAAGAAGACTGAGATCTATTAAATTAGATTGCTCATGGTTTTATGCAGGGGTGTGAAGATCAAGTCAAATCTGATTCAAATTGTCAGTTCAGATCCCTGAATCAATCCAACTCAGTTTTTTGAATTGCATTTTCAAGTTGATATGATTCTGAAAACAAGTTTTTCTTTGTATGCGCAAAAGGTCATTGAATCATCCAATTTGATTCAGAGGTTTGATGCAAATTCAGAAAGTCAATCTGATTCAGAGATTTATTCAAAGGGTCTTCACACTGAATATGCTAATCAAATCTTCACACGGCCCTTGTGATTTTATTCTAGGGATTTCATTCTATGGTGACATATCTCCAAAATAGGTTTTTGTAATCTTTGCATCTGCTTTATCTGTAGACATGGGTGCAAATAGAATGAGAAGTACAATTCAGCTCAACTTAATAAAGGAAAGGTTGGGAGCAGATCATTCACACTCCTGATCAGCCTGCAGCCTTGTGTCAGAACCTGCATCACCCAACTGTTGTTGTTTTCCGTTGTATTGCATTCGTTGGGAGTTGGATTGATTTGTTTCTGCCAATTGTACTAAGGGGGTGGTGGTGGCTGTTAATGGTTGTAATGGGAGCTGGGAAGCAGCTTAATCATATATGGGCAATTTAGACTGGCTTGATTGCCGGCAGGCAGCTGGGGCCCAAAGAGCCAGGAAGGAGCTTGGGTAGGAGGGAGAGGAAGGTGGGAGGTCAACACCAGGTGAAGAGGAATCGACACCAGGCAATAAGGGGAGGGGGATAAATAGAGGGAAGTTTACCCAAGGCGTTAATTTTAGCAATGTTCTGTTTACAAGCTACATGTACCACTTAATAAAGAAGAACCAAGCCGGGTTGCGTAAGAATGCTTCAGAACTGGGAGTTGGACATCGTGGACTTGACATTTTGCTAAAACTAACGCCTTGGGTAAACTTATTTCTTGAAGAAACCTTCTTAGACTATTGAAGCTATTTATCAACTACCTTTCCCCTGGAAGCCCAAGGCAGTATAAATGGGAAGGGGAGGTGAAGTTATCTCCCTTCATTTTATCCCCACAGTAATAACCCTATGAGCTGAGTCAGGCTGAGACACCAAGGTTGGTCCAAAGCCATCTGATAAGCTCCAGGGCTGAGAAGAGATTTGAACCTGGTCTCTTAGTCTGCCCATCACATTCACCATTACTTTACCCTAGCTCTCAGTTCAAACTGGACTGCTATGGCTTGTTTGGCAAACCA